AAGATGAACAAACAGCGAGAAGAGTTTCAATTAATCATTAAGCGTTTAAAAAACATAATTAAAGCCTTAGATGCAAAAAGTACAACAGTCGAGGAGCAGACGAGGAACCACCTCTATCAGAGTCTCGAACAAACACTGAAAGGAATTCATCTATGTCTCGAGGAGCTCTGTCCATCAGGCCAAGTTTCTCCAAACAATGCACCGAAAACAAAGATTAATCAACGACAAATACAAACTGCACTTCTCAACTCTCTTTGGCGATTGTCATCCCACGAGGCTGATTTAGCGCCGGATTCGGAATCTAGAAAAAAACTTCTCAACGAGGGTTTTATCGAGCAGCACATGCTCCGACAGAAATTATTCGAAGAACAAAAGATGCTTCGTGAAAGAGCATCCAAAGCGGATGCCGCAAAAAGTCTTAACGAATTACGTCAAGAACATGATAGCATAATCACACTTTACCTGAAACAATGTCTTTCATTGCATGGCACGATACCAGTTAGTGGTTTGGACGCAAGTACTGTCAGTGAGGTTGCATGTCGTCTTTACCACCTATCCGCTAGTCAACAAGGTACCCTTGAGCAGAACTGGCGATTCTTGGAAATTCCTCTCGAATATTGCCCGATTCAACTACGCGCTGATGAATCGACATCATTCGAACGAAAAGCAGCACGACAGATGCTAGTTAGTGATACACTGCATCCATTCCTTGATCTTGAACACGTGTCAGAGCAAAGAAAAACTTGGACTAGTCGTCTTCTCAAAGCACCTTATATGCCATCAATGATCAAACGGGATCGGTTTAAACTTGTTGATGATACTGAAGTATTCGAAATTCGAGAAGTGCTAAGAAGAAATCGATGGATAGTCATCTTAGGCGATCCTGGAAGTGGAAAGACCACGTTTGTGCGATGGCTTGTGTTACAGTATGCTCAAGCTATGTGTGATGGAGACAGAGAATTGGATTTTGGCCATGCTCGCTTGCCAATTCTTATTCGAATTGGGGAATTTGCCGAGGCCATACGTGAAAATGACAAACTCACTTTGTTCGACTACATCGGACAACATAAATGGTTAGGACAGTCGATTCTTCCTTCGAACTCAATGGGTGCTTCAGCTATAAAGCTGCTATCAAAGGCTCTTCAAGATTACATAAGAAAAGGCCAAGCTTTGGTTATCCTCGACGGCCTCGATGAGATCTCTGTGTCGGAGCATCGAACTTCTCTTGTTAATCTCGTAGAAAACTTTGTTGACGCATACATTCAAACACCATCCTTTACATCAGTGTTCGATGACCCACACCTTTCTAATCTGATTGAAGCTCCTCCTCACTCGGGTGGCAATCAACTGCTTATCACTAGCCGTATTGTTGGTTATCATGCCGCCCCAATGAGTGGTCAGTTTACCCATTTCATTGTAAAACCTATGGATATTGATCATATGCAGGAATTCGTTAACTTCTGGTTTCGCAGCATTCATATTGAAATTATTGATCGATTGGCATTAATAGATAATCAAATAGATATCAATCGCGACACGTGGGAAACTCATGCATCAATGCTAAAGCAGGAGTTGAAAAACGAGGAAAAAGAAGGACTTCGAGAGCTGGCTTCAAACGCCTTCTTGATGACATTCATTTGTGGCGTTGCTTTTGGTTCTCAGGAGATGTCGTTGCCAACTCAACGCATACTTCTCTATTCTCAAACAGTGAATTCTATGATATCGAATTGGAACAGTAAGGGATCAAACATAAATGAAAGTAAGCTTGTCTGGATTCTGGGTGACATTGCTGAATACATCCATGACAAGTCATCGTCTGGTTTAATCGACGAAGAAGTTCTTAAAACAATATGTTCATCATCTATTCGATCGTACGAAAACATAAAATCGCCGTCAGAAGATGATTTGAAAAGGTACGACGCAGAAGCTATGCAGTTTACTAATATCATTCGGGATGATGTTGGTATTTTGGCGGCTCGGGGTGAATCACTTTATGGGTTTTTACATCTCACCTTCCAAGAATATTTCACGAGTTTGTGTCTTGTGAACAAGACGAAATTGAAGCGAAAACATCATTCAACACCATCCAATGATGCTCAATTGATCGCTAGGACTTTACATCAGCACATCGATGATCCTCGATTTCGTGTGGTTATTGCTTTGGCTCTTGGTAAATTGAGTTTACCTCAGGCAAAAGATCACTTTGATGAAGTGTGCACTGCATTTTTGAAGGAATCTCATACATCTGATTCCTTCCTTCCATTGGGGCCGCTGTTATTAATATCGTGTAGAAATGATCTTAGTCGATTACCCTCATCGCATATCTTATTTGATGCACTGGACCAACTATTAAGGGCGGCCGATGATGGTCAGTGGTATTCGAGATGTCCGAAGTTGTTTTCACAACTGGTAGATGCAGTAAAAAAATTGCCTGATTCAAACGTCATTCAATGGATACAGCATGTCTTGTCTCGTACTGAAACTCGAGAAGCAAAACCTATCCGAGCACTGTGTCGTTTGATTCAATGTGATGAAGACAATAGAGTCAAGATCGACTGGCTTGATCCATCTGTATGTCGCTTACTACTGGACTTGTCTCGAGCGAACGATAAAATCACAGATTTTACAGTCGACAATTTACTGGCGAAGATCGGTATGCAGGTGCATTACTCCTTTCCTACATCTTCAAACAGTCTCAAATTTTTTCTCGAACAAAAAGAGATTGAAATAAGCAACATTCATCCAAGCATGTTGGCACTACTGATTACGCTTCACGGAGGATTGAAATCTAATGAGGATACGGTTTTATTCGATCCAAGTTCTATGTATCGTGATTCTTCACATCTCACATCGTTGCTGATTGATTATTTCTCTGATCACAAAGCATCACAAGTTGACAAATTAAATCGGATCGAAGCAGAATGTGATAAAATACTATTGACGATTACTCCTTCTGATGAATCATGCAAGGCGGTTGACTCATTGGCGGCAATCATGTGTCTTCGTGGTGTCGAAAAACTCTGGACACATCCTCATCTACTCAAAAGCAAAGCATTATCGCTCGCACTCAGTAGGCTGAAACATGTTTCATTCTTTTTACGTCAATATTACTCGAAATCGATGTGTGAAGAAGATGCTCGACAAATTTTAAACAACTTTATGGAAAGAAATAGTTTACTAGATACCAGCCGCACCAATGAAAGTAATGCAAATCATTTCTATCGAATGGTTCACGTCATCACGAAAGCTTTAGCACGTTTACGTTCAGACCTCACATTTCATTTACCCGACACGTTAAGCATCGAAGAATCGTTAGAATGTCTTCTTTCTCCTGACGTAACGCTATCTTCGAATCGACAATTATCGTCTCAGTTACCTATCTTTGTCAGTCTGTTTTGGGTTTTTGAAGATGATGAAGAGACCGAAACTCAGTACCGGATGGCCGTTGCAGCTGACACAATTCCGAAGCTCCTCTTATACAATAATGACAAAGATCCTCTTTATGCCTTGGCATTCGTGTCTGATCATGCACGGGTCTTGTTTCTTACCCTTTTGAAACAGAAGGACATCGTCATCGATCATAGTGAATTATCTCAAAACACTCTCCCTTACCAACATATTCTGATTGAATGTCTTATGAAACTTTCAAACTCTTCCTGCAAACAACTCTCTCTGACATTTGCTCTATGTGGCTTGCTGCCGTTGTTGCGGATGTATAACATGGAAAGCTTTGCTGCAAGTCTTTCATGGACGCTTTCTAATGACGACGATGACTTTCTCCACTTGTTCGAATATACAAGACAACGATCTATTGATTCGAATACAAACCAGTATACTGGTGGTCTTGCAGGAATTCCTAACCCGCCAACTGATTTCGTAAAACTTTCACGCTGTGATATCGTGTCTCGTAGTCTAAAACAGGAACAGACACGTCTCCAAGATGCTCTAGTACTGCTCGAACGTTCACCCGAAGATGTGAAAGCAAATCTTAGCTTGTACTCAGCATCTATCTCTTTAGCCTATATCTGTTGGTTTTCTCAGGAGGTTCATTCCGCGTTACTTCTTCGAGAAGCGCTCAATGCTGCGTCATCGATCCACCTACCACTTCTTCGATTCGATGCACTGTGTGCAATTTCTCTTCATCCACGTGTTTCATCAGACCTTTTGGTGTCGAAAAAAGGACGAAGTTTACGTGATGAACTTGAACAACAGTTGATGGATATTTGTAAAGACCTCAATCCACTCTTACACACAAACATTGTTAGACGATGTTTCTCAGTGCTAGCAAAAAGTCAAGCGATGTGTGAGAAGGTAGCTGATCACTTAACCAAATTGCTAGTCAGAGAAGATTATGTTACACGCTTATGAACGAGAATGGAATCGAATGATTTATTGTTTAAAGCAGCAAGTATATATATATATGTGAGAACAAGGAAAGGTGAAGAATTCTGCGGACGGTGACGAGGTCACCAGAAGAAAGAAGAAGACGAATACACACACATATATGTATAGAACAAAAGAAGATATAGACGAAGTACATATGACGACGTAACAAAGAACGGCAGAGATGATACACGTATGATGATGTCACTTAACACACCTCATCAACCACCAGATGAAGCGTCCCGCTCATCGTTACAACAAACAAAAATAAACAAACAACAAATGAAATAATAAACAGATGACTCTTCAAAACAGAAAAACAAGTAGAAACTTCTAAACGAAGAAACACATGTACACACAAACGCCCACTATGAATAGAGTCGGGAAGCATCTGCCACTTACTTCCTTACGCTTACGGCCCTATCATAGCAGGAATAGTACCTTGATTGAAGCGTTGAAATACTAACTATCAGGTACGTCGCATACACATTACTAGATGAAAAGAACTAGTACCACTACTAATTCTAGCACGAATCAGTCATTCAAAAGTATAGTGTCCATAAACATGTACCGAAGGCCCAGTTCCAGTGCAAAGACGAAGTTGAAGAAGGAAGACACTACGGCACGAGAAATGAATAAAGCCATAATTCAACCGAAGAGTAACTTTGTCTGTTCAGGATCGAAAGACTTGGTAACATAGTACGCATGAACAATATCCTTGCGGCGATATGCAGAACATCGACTGAAATCATGAGACTCTCTATAACAGGCAGAGTATTGACACTTCTACCAGTTGATGTTAATCCAATTAGAAGATGACAACATATCATAGTGAAGAAAACAACACATGGTAGGAATTCCGTAATAATATAACCCAATGGATAATTCACACGAGCCTGTCTCCGAAGTTGTTTGCATCGAACAGAGAGAGACATTGAAGCCAGAGAGACACTATCATGGCCTTGATCACTTTTATGCTCAATGACGGTTAGATTGGACGCCGTAGATGTTGTTGTCCCAAGATTGAGCCGAGGTCCAGTGTCCATTGATTGGTCCAGTAGGCTTGTATTTCCTCGTGATGTCATTGATGTATAAGTTTCTGTAAGAGCTTGTGGTTCGTTACGTACTTGAGATGGAATATAGGTACTGAATAGAGTAAGTTCGGTCTCCGCTATAGGTTGCTCAAGCGGACAGGCGATTGATTCACGGTGGCTATCATCTTCTCCCATCGATTTCAGACTGATAATGCTCGATGGTTTTTCAGAACCATTAGATTGGTTGGGCGAAATTGATTGTTCACCTGTTATATAATTCTGTTTCTTTTCAGTCGATACCAATTTAGAATCTATTTGTAGTACGTCGGAAGAATCTCTTCCTTTGGTGTCTTGTAGTAATGGGATATCGAGAGTTATTACTTGTTCTAAGTCTGAATCAACCGACGGCTTCTTCGTCAAATCAATTGTTTCAGTAACTGATGGTGGATCAGGTCCAATTGATTGGGATTCTACTGTTGGTGATGTTGCAGGCATTGATACACCATCTAGTGTTTGTGTACTCGAAGAGCTTTGTTGCTGAATAGATTCTCTGCGAACCTGAGCTCGTTGTATTGCCTTTTGGTAATCAAAATCTTCATTGCATAATTCAAATGCCTTTTTCTCGGCTTCTTCATAAGAGGACGCGTTCCAAACCGGACAGTTACAATATGTTGCTGTTGGGTCTTCAGGATCTGGAATCCTAACCAAAAATACGTTTATTAATGACGAGCTGGTAACAAGGTCAGCCTTCTCTCGAACATCCATTGAAGTTGCAGAAGGAAGCACCCCCTGAGTTGAATTGATCTCTTCGTCTGCAAGCGAGTGGTCATAAATGTTTGGTTTGGCAATGAACTCCATGGTCTTTAGTTCACCATAGCGATCATAAGTGACAATGGCACCCATGTCTGTATATTCTGCCCAACTATGTCCATAGTCGACATACCGATTACGTTTCACATCTTCATGAGTAATATGACGAAGATCACTAAAAGACAGATTGGATGTTTGACCATCATCAACGAATGTGACGCGACAGCTACGATTCGATTTATCTACATTAATCACAGATGCAATGTGCATAACATGATCGATTGGGTGTCGTGCCCATACGTCTTCATTGATTTGAAAATTTCCTGATGATGATTTTCTTTGACGAAAGTTTCGCTTTCGACGACATCGATCAACATAAGATGGATCAGCAAGCGTGTTAAACCAATGATCAAATGCGCGTTGTGCCATACCTTAACAGTAGATGTTTGATTTTGTGAATACCAGAATGTTGCGTTGTTTGTGATGTTGAATTGACAAACAGTCGGCTAGTGCACCAATGTGAGAAGGTAGCTGATCACTTAACCAAATTGCTAGTCAGAGAAGATTATGTTACACGCTTATGAACGAGAATGGAATCGAATGATTTATTGTTTAAAGCAGCAAGTATATATATATATGTGAGAACAAGGAAAGGTGAAGAATTCTGCGGACGGTGACGAGGTCACCAGAAGAAAGAAGAAGACGAATACACACACATATATGTATAGAACAAAAGAAGATATAGACGAAGTACATATGACGACGTAACAAAGAACGGCAGAGATGATACACGTATGATGATGTCACTTAACAGATGAACGCATCAATCAAAGATCTGCTGAACAAACTAAACACGCAAGAAGCTTGTATGAGTAATTCTGATAAACAAGCTATTTATGCAACATTGTTTGAGATCTCTTATGGAAATCAAACCATTTATTCATATTTGTACAAAATCTTGCAAAAAATGAACGAACGAAAAAGTTGCGAACTAAACTCATACCTTTCACTCCGATCAACCGTCCTTCAAACTTACTTTACGCAAATCTTAGATTCTAATCTCTCATCATCCATGATTACACTATTATCTGCTATGTATCTAACAGAGTTGACTAGTGATTGTCATCGCGTTTTTACTTGGCTGTCGTTAAACTTGAGTGATAACTCTCAGCGTCTGCTTGTGCATGAGAAACAACATACACTCAGTGCATTTGACAGCAGTGTTCTTACTGCTACACAGGCAAGCTATATTGAAGAAATTTTCAAGAATTATCTCTCGCAAAAATCTGAAATAGAGAGTTTGACAACTCTCAGTAGATCTTTGCATTCAATCGTAACTGTTGAAAGCACTGCTTGGCCTATTGTTGCACATTGGTTGAGTTTTGAACATCATTCTCAATTGAAATTCCTTTCCTGGCATGCAGCATTGTTGTTTCTCGAGTCAGACCAATGGGCAGAGAAGGCTACAAGAATTGCTACTGAACTCTTGCGTAGCCCATTGGACCAGTTTAGACAACGGGCTGACAAGCTGGTTACAATTCATAAGGATGACCGTACTCGAACAAGTACGCAGTTGGGTATTGATGCAGTACTGGTTCTTCTTGATCGCTACTCATGGAGTAGTCATCACTCAGCGCGGAGTGAAATCGCATTATTGAGAAAGCTCTACCGAACATCCGTTGATCAATCTGCTCACCTGAACACCATTCTTCAGCTAGAACAATATCGTATTATAAAACAGAACTCTCAAGGACAGAATGATTTCCAGATCGATGATCCAGAACTATCCAACGCGATGAAGATTGCGATGACTAGCAGCAATCTTGATGTGTCTCTGTGTGTGGCTCTCGAACGTCTTTCACCTGAACTGTTTTCTTACGTAGCTGAACTGCTGCAATCTAATTTTTCCACGTTACCACAATTTCTTCCTAGAAGTCAACAAATCTCAAACGAAGATCATCAGACATTTATAGTTTATGTACTCATCGCACTTGGTATAACCCTATCCAACAAGGAGATTGATGGAACCATATTGGTCAACTCCATTAGTGAACTTCTACAAGAATCATGCTTCGCTGAAGTTCAAAAAGCAGCTGTATATGCTCTCGGTTTTTCAAAACTGGGAGCAACAATATTAATGAATGTGATAAGATCTGTCACAGGCGAGCAGCATGAAACCGAGAAAAAATATTCAGATGAAGTGGTTTCTATGGCCATTCGATCCTACGGTTATGGCGCATCGTTCTATTCGGAAGACTATAACATTGAAGAAAGTATGAATGTTTTTCACGAACTGCTCGACCATCCATCTTCTACGATTGCCAAAGCCACGCGACAAAGCCTGGCTCGGGCAATCGCAGATCCTGATCATCTACTGAAACTACTAAACTCTGATCATGTCGAATGTTATCGAGCATTACTCACTTCAACTGCTGACATTTTCATATATAAAAACCTACCGGATTACATCTCAGCAACGGCTGATTTTATAGTGCAACATTCAGATCTACTTCCGATCTTTCTTTTTGATCTATACGAGAATATTCGTAATTTTTCCGACCAAATCTTTCATGACGGCTCTCCATCGTACAAATATGAATACGAATGCCCCCATTACGTTCCAGTTGCCGCGGTACTGGTAGAACATATTCCTGCCGCTTTCTGTACCGTTGTCAATGAGAGTGGTTATTGTGATGAGTTCAAACGTGCTCTTTATAATACCAGCAAACAACGTCGTACACTTCGACGAGCGGGATGTCTCACTGTTCTATCGGCATTTGGTGAACTAACAGCCGACTTATGCGAGATGCTTGTTCTAGCTCTGCTTGACGACTCATTTTTGCAGAATACATGTTATCGCTGTATAGCGCGTGTTCAAACATTAAAGGATGAACATGCCTTGAACAAATTGTTTGAATATCTCAATTCAGATTCAATGAATACACGATTTGCAACATCGACATTGTTGATTCGTCTCACTCAATCGGCCATCGTTGATCGGAAAACTATGCAGACAGCATTGTATCAAGTGATCGATGATCCAAAATCAAACGAAGAATTATGGCTGATCGAAGAAAATGATGATACAACTCCTGAAAACTCTTATTACAGGGCTGGCAAATTGAAAGATGTCATTTATAATCTACTTGTGACATTTTTTATTAGTGATGCTAGCGACGAAACGGCATCGAATGAATTTCGTTCCACGAATGCCGATCTCACGGAAGAAGAGAGCGATTTTATAGCGTCAGAAAAAAGAGCACGACTTGCTGCTTGTTCATTCGACTTCGTGGCCAAGAAACAATCAGCAGAAGAAAAAAGCGACACAAAAAGTACTTCGAGCGATTTAACCATTGCTGTTACTAAGACAGATGAATTGAATCATGAAATACGCGATGCATTTCAAAACCGACATCAACAATGGAAATGGTTTTTGTTCGATTCTGATGATGATTCATCTAGCGACCGGCATATACGCAATGAACAAGATCAAGAAATTAAAATACTACAAACACCAACGAACAATGAATCCTTACAGACCATTAATGACGAAACGATAGCACGGGACTCCCTTCTACCGATTCCATCGATCAAAGAGTCTCATCAAACTGAAAGTCATACAAACAAGAATGTGACTGAACTAAGAAAAAACCAAAGCCAATGCTGCACCATTTTATAATGAAAAATAATGATGGAAAAATGAACTAATATCCCATCATAATGAAATCTAATTAATATATATTGATTGATATCATTCATTTATTCATTGATTGAATTTTCTCTTTAGTATAATATTCAGTAGAGCCAATTATTTGCTTTTATCTCTTGACTTTTTAAATCTATGATTCCTATAATTGAACTATGAATCAATCTCCTATCAACAAGTAACACTGTTAGCCAGCTGATATGAGTGTGAGTTAACTCTTGAAGGCACCGACTCCATCCTTTTTAATATTCTCGCCATTGTTCGTGTCCCGCTCCAAAGCACAGTATTCACATCTACAAAGGAATCCGGATGTTGTATGCGAATGGAGGTATAGGCCTTCTCTATACATAAATACGCATATTCTGACTAATAATCTATTGTTAGTGATGACTTGTGATGAAACACCATTGAACAACAACAGTTCAATCACACTTTTCGTATTTACACATTGCTTTGACTATTCAAAATCAATGCACTTGACTTATGTGACAATGAACTTCGTCAAAGTGGTGTGGCAGTTTTAAGGTTTTGGCGCCCACAAAATTAGACTGTGGAGCTACTTTTCCAAGAACTAATACTTAATTATTAGAATTCTACATGTATGCTACGGTTTCTATTTTGCCTTAAATCACTTTTTCGTGTGTGAACAAGACTTCATGCATCACGAAAACTTGGTGGAATAGGAGTATACCAAGGATATTCTCTACGCTCCACACCTACACGCAATAGTCAAAGAATCAGGGGCAAGCGAGTGTAATTAAAGAGATCCTAACACCTTCGCCTCGAAATAGTGCGTCCATTTTCTATCAATTGCCCATGTCTTACCGCCGGATACGATAATCATTCCCACATCTTTCCGACCAGTTCCAGTAAAATGCGATTGTTCTCGGAGCCCGGAATCATCGGCATGAATATTTTCTTTTCAATAATTCTTAGGTGTTCATTTATTTGAAAATACAAGAAAATCAAAACTGTAAAAGCTGATTGAAGAGAATGTCCTATTACTTTTTCGCTTCTTTCATTAGAGTCATAGTATTAACTGATTAAACCACAGTCTATTCTAAACAAATTTCATATTTTCAAAGTAGTAAAGATTTTCTATATGAAATGTTACTAATAATAAGAATATCAGGAGAAAACTCATCAGCCAATCAAACTTTGAAATATTAAAATGAACGACGTAAAAAAAATAGAAAAAATCAAGTGAAATAAATAGAATATAATCCAATCAAGTTCATATGATATCTATTGTCCTTTAAAACTAAGTTACAAGTAAAATCCGATCGTTTTTAATAAGTCTCCTTGAACAATAAGAATCATAAATGCAACCTAACGAGGATGACGGGTATGATAAATTTCAATTTGCAACTGTTTATCTTATCAGTTTTTGACTCAGAAAATGTCACAGAACGTGCAAGTCATCGAGATGATCATGATCCAATGAAGTTCTCGTCTCATAGTAAAATTCATGGATATTTTTCATTACTATCAGTAGTAGCTAGAAGATAACATTCCATACCAATGACTAGTCTTTGGTTGCAAAGATAATTTAGCTCAACTCGATTGATATTTACCTAAAGACAACATGTTTATCAGCGAAAAAAAAACAAAACTTATTCTTTTCATTATGAATCTGTATATTTGCTTTATTATTGTTTTGTTCATCTAATGAATATCAAATACATTGTTTTGTTTGTCATTTCATTTCTGCTGGAAAAATTGT